GATACGCCTCTTTTCTTTTCTCGGTACAAAAAGTAAATTTTCGATCATCGTTTGAACTTCATCATCCTGTTTGTCATTTATCAAAACAAAAATATTCCAGAAAAATAATAAAGGGGTTTGAACTCATGTCCAACAGAATATTGAATATTGAATATGAATAAATATTGAATGATGAATATTGAATTGAATATTGCAATTATTATGAATGACTGATGAACATTGAATGTGAATATAAATGTTGAATAATGAATGATGAATAATTTTTAATAATTATTGATTATTTGAACTGAACATTATGTGCATGATATCAAATGATTTGATTATGAATTTAGATTCAGTTTATATGGATGTTCGATGCATTAGATATGCTTACTCAGCTTCAACGCTGAGCGTGTAGTATGTTTTATTTGCTCCACACAGGTTATTAGAAAAAATGAAGTGACGTGGTCCTGGAGGCAGACAGAGGCGAGATTGTCGGAATGGATGTGATGGTTTTGAATTAAAGAACTTAAATAAATTATGTGTGTATTATGATTTGTTAAGCTTCCGCAATATTGAAAACTCCGTACTGTTTATATTATGAAAAATATTATTGTGATAAATAAAAGTGTTTGAAATGTTTTAAATTTTTACAATTACCAAGTTAATACTTTAATCTGAAAGGGGCTACAGACCTAGACGGATTAGGGTGTTACATTTTGTTATCAGAGCAAATGGTTTTAAAACCGATCTTCGGATCGAATTTTGATATTAAAAAAATGTCAATCACATCCACGACTCTCGCATCCCTCTACTCCAGGAAAGTTATGAAAATTTACTTGGTAAATAATGACTCTATTAGAATTAGATAACAAATGATTAGCATTGAAATCGTATCGAGCGTAGACTCTAGTTGAACCTTCGTACTCGGTGAAGAGACGAAAGAATAAACGAAATAAGTATAACCTCCTAATACGTTATCAACGTACGCATCGCATAGTGAATAACAAAACTGGTCGACATTGTAAGGTCGCACGAAAGTGAGACAATCCTGAAGAACGATTAGTGTTGATTTATGTTGAACAACATTTGTGAAGCTGATATCAAAGATCCCCATGTGGACTCAAGACGATCCGATCGCTGATTCAAACACGAACGTTTAGAATCAATAAACTCTGTTGTCTAAAAGTGTCCCATTCTGATGTCTAACTCATTACAATGCAAATATGCGATTATATCATACGAATCGAAATCGTTCGTTAAGCAACAATTCCTTGCAAAACCTCGTCAAAATACCATACAAGGAAATTAACGTTATCCTTAGTATGCATTAGCTGACTGAACATTATAGCTATTGACAACTTGTAATGAAGAATTATTCAACTGAAGATCAATGATGGTAACCTCATAGAGGTGAAAGCAAAGCTGATTTCTAGATCGATCGAGTTCATCTCGAATACACATGCAAAAAAGTCTCAACCGTTAGAAACGTGAAGTCTATTCATGCGATACGCGAACAGAAATATCTGAGCTGAAAGAACGTAACAAAAGTACGTCACCGCTCTAATATAAAATTTCTAATATTTCACCGTTTCGAGAAATCTAATTCTCTGTCAATCTTGATCCTAGAAAAGACCAATATTTGTAACTCTGTAATGAATGTGCTTCCATCAAAGACTTCCTGAAAAAGAATCATCTGATAAAGTGTTCCCTCCTTGGGAGAATGCATGTTCTGTTCATACACGAATAAAGAAGAATCTATGAGACTCTGTATCAACTAGTGTCAGTTGAACAATTCGTTATCCTTTACTTCATATCAATGACTTATTTGATCAGCTTAGAGAATCCATTGTATTCTCTAAGATTGACTTACGGTCAGGATACCCACAAATCCCTGTCAAGAAACTTGAACAAACTGACGACCAAGAATCGCTGTCCTTTACAATGAACCGACGACTTGTTCGATCAAATTCAAGGAACCCATTTGTTAGAAGCTATATACAGCCCGACCTTGTTGAATGAACAGATGCCTTGTTATAATGACTTAATTGCTTATCGTCGAAAACATTAGTGAAATAAAGTGATGCTGACAAGGAAAATAGGTAAGAAAATTGACTCGTTCGTATACGCTATTAACGTGAAAGTTCTCGATGTGGAACAATACAAAACAAGACGTGAAACAGTGACACCAATAGTGAAAGACTGAAGAATGAAGAAAATATAGCCCGCACTGGTCATACAGCCTAGAATAATATTTATGGAAAATATCATTTCAACATACAACTTGGATCATATGAGGAATGTTATAGATGCAATTCTAAGTCTAATCTCCCAGGATTCACAAACTCATCGTAACTAACCCTCGGTCCCCAGAAAGCTTTAGCAAACTCTAGTTTGTCTGAAAGCTCTTCAACAAAGAAACAAGAAATAAAAAGTTTCCACTGACTGGAAGCCATGAAGTTCTGCCTCACCGCATCGTCTAAGAATTTGAGAAGTTTATTGAAATAACCGTCAATGATTAAAAGACCAATGGGTCTATTGTGTAAGCTTTCAGAAGCCCACGAGATAAAGGTAAACAAACCTTCCAAAGTGTCAACTCCTCCGGGAAGAACAATGAAAGCTTCCACGGCATGAATCATCTCAAAATATTTGTAATAGTTGCTGGAAACTGTATGATCTACACCGTACGTGTTGTATTTAGGTGCCCTAGCGGCAATCAAATACCTCTGTAACTGTACACTTTATCATGAATGAAAGGCCTTGAAGTATGTTTTATATCTCGTGTAACATAACATAGCTTCAGTCCATAGACGATATCCCTAGTCTCACTTTATGATAATACGGACGTCATAACGTATCAAGACTAGTACGTACGAGATGAGATAGTTGCGTCTCATAGACTAAAGGTATTGTGATATCTTAATCTGTACGTAGGTGCATATTATATCGATAATATGTGACTGGATTGACCCATCTTGAGAATACTGCATGGATCTACAGTAATGTGTTTATCAGTATTCTCAAATCGACCTTGCTATAACTATCCTCAGACTTGAAGTTATTACATTCTCTGATATGTGGGGCCGTATGCTTTGATTCATAACTAATGCTATCTGAAATACTGGTAGACGTACAGTTATGCGTTGGGTATGCCGCTAAGCATATTTAGAGATGTGAATAACAGATACAGGATC